GGACCAAATTCAATATCAAAGAATTGACTTGAAAAATGTCCTATCTTATTCAAAAATAAATGTGTATTGTTATTTGAAAGGAATTTCTTAGTTTTTATTTTAAATTCGATTAGGGTTCGACTTTTCCGGATAGAACTTGGAATAGAATGCCAGATAGTCGCATATCTTATGGTGTAGAAATTTGACCGTTGGGACTTTGTGAATTTGGGAATCCTTATAATATCCTAGCTATTTCTGGTGTTTCTATGGGCGTTTTGGTTGGTAAGTAAATTCATTTTGAGAATATCTTGATCGTGGGTGACCTTTCAGTTCAGTTCAGTTTATTCGAGGGAAATATAGGTGTTAAACCTTTGAACTCCCTATTTGTTACAAGGAGGCGAACAATAAAAAAAAATTTGAAAATGGAAACATCAAACTGCTACAGAGTTTCTTTAGATTGGCAACGTTTTGTAAGCCAGACAGATAAACGAATTGTTCCAAGAGTTAAAAACATTAACGTTACTAAATGTGCTGTACAGTAGTCTGTCTAGGTATAGTTGGTGCTATCTCAGTTTTGGAGGGAGACGCATTGAATGCCAACACACATTCAACAGACATGGGACAATATTAAAAAAACAAACGTTACTGAAATACAGGAAGTAATATAACAACATTAATAAACTATTCGAACGAACTGCTAGACAATCTGTCAGGTGGCATTATGACGATTGGTGGCAATCTGGTCCAAGTTGCGCTTAAAAGCCTCGACGGAGGTGGACATGACGACACCTGCAGGCAGAGCATTCCAGGCCTCGATCACTCTGTTTGAAAAGAAGAACTTCCGAGTGTCCAGCTTGGCGCCAGTTACGCGTAGTTTAAGTGGATGACCTCGAAGGTCCGTTGTGGTCGCTAACTCAAAGAAATCAGTAGGTACGAGACAGCAGTCCTGGCCGCGCAGAATACGGAATGTTTGTATAAGGTCGCCTCTTAGCTGTCTGTAACTCAGTGGAAAGAGGCCGAGATTGGATAATCGGGTGTCATAGGGTAGTGAACCCTGTCCACTTACGAGTTTGGTTGCCCGCCTCTGAACTTTCTCAAGGATACTGAGATCTTTAGAGGTCCACGGTTTCCACGCCTGAATAGCGAACTCTAGCTGTGGCCGTACGAACGTCCGAAAGACTTTAACGAAGCAGTCCTCATCGAAGGTAGAGAAAGCTCTCTTGACAAGATAAAGGACTGACATCGCAGACTTGGCTACCTTGGAGCAGTGAAGCGACGGTTTTAGAGAAGCCGTTACCCACACCCCCAAGTCTTTCTGGGCGTCTACCTCCTGCAATGGTACGCCGTTTAGGTGGTAAACCCTCCGGTTCAGAGATCGGGTCCTGCCGACTCGCAGGACATTACACTTAGTCACATTAAACGGCAACAGCCAGTCCTGTGACCATTTCTCGAGTCGGGTCAGGTCTGCCTGCAAGTGCTCTTCGTCAAATTCAGTTCGGATGACGCTCCAAAGTTTAACATCATCAGCGAACATGGCGACATCACAATTCAGTTCACTGACGCAGTCGTTGACGTATATAATGAATAGGGTAGAGCCAAGAACGGAGCCTTGTGGAACACCGCTTTCAACCGCTACCTCCGCCGACTGCCTGTCACCGACGTGGACGATTTGAGAGCGACCGATCA